CTTTCAGAGATCTTTTAGCCGCAGTGACTGATAGTGTGATTACACCTATGGGCGCCACTCTTCTTCCATCGAACCCTACCAAGGGGTTTCTGGTAGGGCAAATTTGATCTGTGACCAGTTTCAGCTAATTGAAAGTCCACTTCGTTATAATATTGGCACTAGTGCTGGGATCAATCAGTACTCGTTTGACCAGGTAATTGGCCACTAACAAGTTGATCATTAATGGGTCTTCATGTGGGTGTTGTACTCTTCTGAGATCTCCCTCATGAAAGGAAACCTGTGCTAGATTGGGTTTGTAACCAACAGTGTTGATTTTGCCAATCCTTCGTAACTTATGGGCTTGCTTGAGCTGAGTCCTGTAAGAATTCTCTTGTTGCTCGTCCTCCTCCGGACGACCATGAATCGTATTGATTACCCGAATATACTGGTTTTCTGCCATAGCCTTTGGAGTCGTTCGGGTTCACTCGTGTTGTCTCTGTTGTCCCGAGTTAACCAGGTAGTCTGCCAATTCGCCTTTGGCTGCTAGCCCCTCCACTTGCCTTCTCAAGCTCCTGCAATCATTGGTTAAGTGGCCAAAATCACTATGAAACACACAGTACTTACTTTGGTCTCTCTGCTCTATCGATTGTCTGATTGGTAGTGGGATCTGAAAGATGTTTCTAGCCTTAGTCTCTTGATACAGTCTAGCCAGTGTCATTTTGAGAGGTGTGACATTTTCGGCCATTCGAGATTTCTTCTTGGGAGCTCTTCCTTTGATGCTAGAGGGTTCCTGCTGGACCCTTGACGTGCTCAGTCGCTCTTTTGGTCGACTCTCCACAGTGACTAGAGTTGCCCTTTGCTGCCTGGTTACTTCATTTTCTTTAAATCTGATATAGTTTTGTGCTCGTGAATTCAACTCTGACATGTTAGTCAGAGTTTCTTCACTAGAAAAAAGTGAAAACGTAAGCCTTGCACCATGGCTATCTTGAATACTTCTATGGCTGTATCCCGATTATAATCTGGAATGCCAGAGGATTCCATGTTGAATCGAGTAAGGAAGGCTTGCAGGCCCTCTCTTTTCATCTGTCGAATCATGAAGAGACTGGCAATGGTTTTTTTGTTTCTTGTTTCCACAATACTGGGCAAGAAACGTGACGCACAATGATTCAAAGTTTGGGATTGACTTGCATGGGTGATTTTTGAACCATTCCAAGGCCACCCCCGTCAAACTGGATAGGAATATTCTGCACATGAACGAATCGTTATGCGCCTCTAGTATCAGTTCCTGAGTGTAATGGTTTAGGTGCTAAAGAGGGTCCCCAGTTCTATTGAATTTGATGAACTTTGGTATTGTGAATTTCTTGGGTCTCACAACCCGTTCTATCTTATCTGTAAAAGGAGTCTTCATTATTGATGCAATGAATTCCCTCGCTATGTCTTCGGGTGTTTGGGCTTTTAGCCCTTTGATTCGCTCGTCCATTTCCTTTCAGACCCTAGCGCTGAAGTCATTCCATGAGGATGGCTAATTAGTTGCTGGGACCCATGCTTCCTTTCTACCTGAATCATCATCATCTGATGGATGGACCTTGGTGGTTCGAGGTCCTCCCATAGTGGAGTTTCATAGGATGCGGGATTGGCTCGCTGTATCGTTGGCATCGTCCAATGTTCCATTGAGCTGTTGCTATGGAACCCTCTACTAGAGAGGAGGGTTATCGGGACCTAGCTCCAGAAGAGGATTTTCGTTCTAACGTTCGAGCTGAGGGTCGATCGGTGGATCATTCTGTTGAGCGTTACCCCGAAGTCTTTCGTTTTTCTCGTGCAGAGTGTTGATTTCACCACGTTGGCTTCTTGAGCTTATCTCAGTGGTTTGATCTGTTCAATACTGGCTTCGTTGGATTATCGAAAGACGTCAAGTTGTACTTGTATCTCTTCACGTATTTTCTACATGGTTTCTTATTGTTATAGTTGTGCGGCGTCTGATCCTATTGCCATTTTGGATCAATGTCGCATGCAAGCAGTAGAAAACGGATTTTTTGTATTGAATTCCCACAGACGGCGCCAAAGTGTAGGTGCAATTTCTCACACCCAAACACTTAAAAAAATAAATCAAAAAGATATACATAAAATATTGATGAGACGACAAACAGTTTTTAAAGAGAAGAACAATGATGGGAATTCGATGATCTTTCATTCTCATTCATGCTCTATTTATAAGCTTTGTTCAGAGAATTACATGGAACCATTTTCTGGCTTTATTCCCAGACGTGGATATTTATGTTTACTGATCGTGTGCATATTTTTATGGCAAGCGTTATGGATTTATGCACCTGTCGAAATTGGGCTATCCATCGGTTTTTATGTCAAGCGGAGCTTCCTTTATTTAATCAGGCTGAGTTGACATGTGTGTATGGTTTTTGTTGTTGGGCCTCCAATTGATGGTGGGCCTCTGGGTATTTTTAGTTTAGTAATGGGCTACTCTTTTGTTGTCATGTGGTGTGTTATGATTGGTGGGGATTTTTTCCCTCCACAAAGTGCAGTGTGTATGGTAAGGCATTTAAAATTCTCTTTCTTTACCCTATTGTTCTAGGCAAAGTGTCACAAGGCTCAACAGTCCTAATCCTCTTTTTCCTCAAATTTGAACTCTTTAGATTTTTCAATTTCTTTCCTAGTTCAATTTTTCTTTTCTAACACTAATACTTAATATGCCATTTTTCACCACAAAAATGACATGTTGAAATAAGTTTAGGAGAATTAGAAATAACATAAGGTTTGGTTTCAAGTTTCACAGAAACATCTTTAGATTTCTGAAAATACAAATTCTTTAAAGTTGATGCCAAATCTTTGTTACTCCTAACATTGTCAACCACTCCTTTCAACTTATCAATTTTACATGTGTCAATATCAACTTTCTGAAAAAGACTGTTTTGCTTTAACAAATTCACTACTCAAATTATCAATTTAAGTTCCAGTGATTTATTAAACAAATTTACCTTCTTAAGTTCCTTTTCTAAAAAATCAATCTTATGAAGAAGATTCAAATTTTTATGGCCAATTTCTTTTAAATTCTTATTAGAGACATAAACTTCTAACTTATAAATATCTCTATCAAGTTCCGCAAGATTCAATTTCTCTAACAGAATTTCAAAATCCTTTTTAAACTTGAACCACTCAATTTACATGCTTGTGACAGAATAAAAAAATGAGGTAAAGACAATACATCAACACTTGAATTTTCAGACATGATGCAAAAATCAACAATAAATCAACAAATATGATCTATTCTGTATATCGAGTATCCCGCTCTGATACCAAATTGTGAAAATAGAGTTACGTGGGGTGCGGAAATAGTTAGTTGATTTTAATTGTGATTAGCTCATTTAATGACATAGATCTAGTTATTAGGTCAACTTGCACAATTTGCGATTGATTAAATTAATTAAGCAATATGATCAATTTAAACATCCACAATCACAAATTTAAATACTGTAAAGTAAAGTAAGTAAAAGTTTAGAGAGATTGCACTAGAATTTTTAGTGAGGAAACTACAGTTGATAAAATATGTCAACTGTTTGCATGGGAAAAACCTCGTGGACTATTCAGTCCGAAGTAAACCGATCCACTATGTTTGAAACAAAGTACATCGAACTTTTAATCTGGCTCACACCCTATCGTTCTCCCTAACACCAATTGTTGACAATCCTCTGGCTTTGCGACTCCCCGTCCAATAGCAACTTGACCTCAGGCATATGCTTGATATTTGTAGAAGAGTAGTAAGTAGATCAGACAACACTCCTCGAATGCTCCAACCCTTTCAAAGTGTGATCGCTTTTACTTATGTTCTTCAAGATTTGAACTCGAGGTAGAAGAACTAAATCCAACTCTTCATACGGAATATCTGAATCTTCAAATAGCTCCAATTCGGATGAGATAAAGAACAATACTACTGAATCACTCATGAATATATGTGTATGCTCTCATAAATAAATTCAAAACAATCAGATTTGATTTTCAGAATTTTCTCTCTGTAAAAGGCTTTCTCAAATTATAGAATTGATTTTCCCTAAAGCCGTGAATAAACCTAGAAGACTAACAAGGTTTACATAAAGTTTAGTAAGTCCTAATCCCTCAAAAAATAAGAAAATTTCGTGCATAGGACTTGGAAAGAAGTTGAGATCAAAAAGAAATCAAACAGCAAAAAGGAAACTGAAAACCATCTGCTGCTTGGACTTCTTGAACTGGTTCAGAGGGGCTGAACCGGTTCAAGATGACCAAAGGATTTTTGAAATTCCTCTCTTTGATTCTTGAACCAGTTCAAGATGGCTAGTTTTGAAAATTTCCCTCTGCTGAAGTTGCACATGTTTGATAAATCTTGAACCAATTCAAAATCGATGGACAGAATATAAAATCTTGTTTCAAAACCTTTCAAAACCCTTCCTAAATGTTCTCACTACCTATCAAAACTTCTTAGAGCAATGTTCTCATCATCTCGAAGTGTAGTATAACATGAACACTTGAACTTCTTCAAATCCGCATTCGATCTTTAATCTTCGATATTTTGAACTGAAAAATTACAACTCGATCGGGCTTATTTTGACAACGAAATTAGCCAATTACAAATATATATATATATCACATTCGGTTCTATTGCATTTTGGAGCGGCTCTTTTTTATTTTTTATATATACACACACACACACACACATACATAGGTTTTTTTTTTCTCTCTCTCTCTTTTGATAAGTTTTTTTGTTATGATTGATTTCTAAGCTCTTTAGAGTTATAATTAGGATTGTTTGGGTCACCTCGCAGTATTTTACTTACATGCTTGGATGAGCCATTGTTATCAACATCAATTTTCATTTGTCTTTAATGAGAACATAAACAAAAATTTGTAATATATCATAATCAAATTGCGTTTGGAAATATAAAAGCAACGCCTGAAACCGTTAACAATTTGGAATTAAAGAACATAATGTTACTGCAATTAAAATTGCATCTTTTTGACATACAACAAATAAGAAATATAACAAAACCACATTAACATTTTGAATTGAACACATAAAACACACAAATACATACATAGCTGACATTAACCCACTTTATATAATCTCTCTTATATGATTCCGAGATCAATAGTCCCAACGAATTACTAGATGCAAGCTCAAAAAATTGAATAAAGTTAACACATTTACTTACACGTCAACTATAATTTCAGGATATTCGTCCCAAGACCATATTACAATTTCTTTTATGATAGGCATTTGTAAGTGTGTGACACACACACACAAAGAGAGCATCATAAACTTACGTCAACTCGGATTCGACCCAAGCAAGATTTACCATTGAGTACATTGCTTTGCTGAAGCTCTATGTACTCCCTATATTTGATTCCACGGTATGCTGCTGGACTTATTTCAGTATCCACCAAGGCCTTGCTTGGGCTTACGATTCTCTCAAGTGGTGGTCCATGTGCTGTTCCTACGGATATTCTGGTTGCTCTGTTGTTAACCATTGCTCTGTGTAACACACTCTTGTATTTTCCATTAGTCAATATCTGAAATATGAAAACAATAGATTGTTAATGGCAAATTCTTGATTTCCCTCTTCATTTTCCTAAAAAGAAAAAATGAAAAAAAAAGGTCTTTTCACAATTCTTGTTAGAGTTCTGTTATAGAGTCTCGACTGATTAATCCAATCGCATGTATGTGAGTGGAGAGCCGAACTACTTATCATTTTCCTATTTATTAAACAAGGCTAAAGATGCTCATGTACCTCCATATGGTCGCCAGTGTTCACAAGAATAGAATTGGCTAGGGGTTTAATTAGAACCCATTTGTGATTATGTAATACTTGAAGGCCATTTTCCTCATTTTGTACCAGTAGGGTCAATAGGCCATGGTCTGAGTGAGGAGGCATCCCCATAGCCACTTCTGGCTGTGGACAGGGTGGGTAGAGATTAATAAGCAGGAGCTGTGACCCAAATTCAACCTCCATTTCTTTATTTATGTAGTTTTCTTCCAATCCCAAGCTTGATGATATCCCTTTGAGCAATTCACCGGCGATGTCACGGGCTCTTTTGCAGTACTCTTGTGAAAATTCTCTGCAGGCAAGAAACAGATTGGTGAGGGCTCGTGGAAGCATCAATAGGGTTATTGGTCAACAGTTTCTGAAAACTCCGTCAAATAAAAATGTGAAAATTTTAAAATAAATATGGTGAAATTGCGACCCGACAAGGGACACTGCCACACTGGGCATACCTGAATTTATTGGGCTTCAAAGGGGCATTGAAGTTTGGATGAACCTGAACCTTGAGATGATCCCTCCAAAACAAGGTCTTATCCACAGAAACATTAAAGCTTGTCCCATACCTTACAGGATCAAACAGTGATTTCCCAGTGTACTCTCTCTTTTCGTCCTCTGATAGTTCGAAAAAACTTTGACTAACTTTCAACATCTCATCTACCAGATTCTCTGGCATACCATGGTTGATTAGCTGAGGAATGAGGATGCATACAGTGAAATTTTAGAATACATATATATATATATATATATATATAAACATTTTTTATAAGGTATTTAATATAAGACTAAGTATTTTATATTACACAAACTTCATTTTTAAAATGTTTGTATTTTATAAACATTTTTTCAGCCCGTTATAGGTTCGTTCCTGTGTTCAAAGTCAGACCCAGTCTCGGTGTGGGGGTAGGCAAGGTTGGCTGACCGCAAGTTGTGAGTTCCAATGAAAGAGAATATTACAATTGGAACTTATTTCACATCGGACCCAAATAGAAAATATAATCGCGGTATTTCACTTAATAGCTTAAGTTTTTTGGTCGGATTACGAAACACTTGACCCGTTACAACTAGCCTGGCTATAAGAGGATGGATAGAGTTTAGGGATAGGATTCGGTCCTCGGCCCCACCCACAGCACGAGCAACAGGCCCAAAGAAGCCTGCCACCAGAGCTGGACCTATACCCACACACAATTATGTTGTCTACCATAAAACAACACCATTTTTTCTTTGTTTTTCTCACTATTTACCAGACATTTTTTCTTATTCACGTGGGTGGATTTCCCCACAATACTAACTTTTCAATTAAGTAAATTAAATGGGTCATTGTTTTAAAGTCATACAAAAAATTTAAATAATGAAAAATTTATTCAATAGAATAGATTACTTTTTTTGAATTAATTATTAAGTAATCAAGGTAACAAAATGATATATGACGTGTGAAAAACTTTTGTATGGATACAATATATTTCTTGATGAAATGATCATTCTTCAAAATAAATAGCATATGAAATGAAAGCAATTCATGAGTTGAAGTCGATATATATATGTATATATATACACACTTTTCTGATCAGAAAAGAAAAGAAGCAGCAAAACTAGGCATGCACTTTAACGATTGGGAGCTGTCAAAATTCTTACCATAAAGAATCCCCATTGTTGGCATGCATAGCCAATGTCTTGGATGACTTTGGCTGCTTGTTTTGCACTTCCTGAAAAGTGGGAAAAGTCGATAATGGGGATTTCTTCTGCTTCTTCTTCTTCTAAAAGCATGAGATCATTGGAATTCTGCGCCAAAACAAACTTGGATGGAATGGATGTGAGGCAGCCTCTTTCTACTAGTTCTTTCACACTTGACATCTTGTGTGTGTGTGTGTGTGAGAGAGAGAGAGAGAGAGAGAGTGAGAGAGAGAGGAGGAAGAGGAGGGTGAGGGAGTTCATATATTTTATTCTCTTATATAGAAGAAGCATTGTGCATTTGGGCGTGGTCCAAATGAGACCTATGAGGCACAAAAGTCAACAAGATTAACTTTATAAGTGCCACGATTCTCATATGAATTTTGCACCTATCATTCCAACGATAATAGTGGCCCAATGCATCTCAGCCATGGAATGCATTCAAGTGAGGGCCATCCATTCCAAAATAATGGTGGATTCGATACCAGCTCAACTACAATTGAAAGCATCTATGTGAATATTACACATGATGTTTATTTGATGGGGGAATAAAATGAGGCTGACGTTACTCAATTAGAGTGTATATTTTCAAGTTTTAAATATTGTGCATTAGGGTCATTGTCTAATTTTGTTTAATATATATATATATAGTGATGTTGAATTGATGCGGAATAAATATGATGTAACAGGTTAATGGGTTAATGTCACGCAGTTAGGATATATTTTGCCACGTCTCATACACACAAAAATGTACAATGGTTCTCATGTGAAATTGTGAATTTTGTTACTTAGGGACCTACGTTCTAACGGTAACGTATGGTGTGCCCAATGCATCTCAGCCTTGGAATGCATTCAAGTGAGGTCCATTTCATTCCAAAATAATAGTAGAGAAAGCATCTAATTAAACGAAGTTTGACAATCGAAAGCATCTATGTGAATATTGCACGTGATGTTTAATTGATGGAGAATAAAATGAGGCTAACATTACACGGTTAGGGTGCATATTTTCACATTTTAATTATTTTGAAAAAATTTCATTGCTGAATTTTATTTAATATATAGATCTATATAGTATGTTCAATTGATGTAACAAATATGATGCAACTGCCGACGGGAGTTAATAGGGCTAAAATGTTGCATAGTTAGGGTGCATTTTGCTATGTTTCAAGTCTTTTTCAACAAGTTATTGTTGATGTAAAATGTGCAAGAAGATAAGCTCTGAATTTATTCGCCATTTATTTCACGTTTTATAAATGTTGTTACAGTTGAGATTTTCAATTCCGAAGTCCGTGCAGTTTGGACATATATCTACTTTTCCAAAGGTCATTCGTTCAGTCGTTCTCAATCTAACTCAAAGTCTTACATTGATATGGCCTTTCTATTCAAATTTCCATATGGACATACATCTACTTTTCCTAAGGTCACTCCTATTATTGTGTTCTTTTTCCTTGAAAAAAAAAATTAATTAGTTTTGTTGTGACCAATAATCCATGTTCCCCCAAAACATTAATTGTTTCTCACTTCTTTTAGATCAATTGTGGTAATTCCTGCACGTAAAGAAAACTCAGGAGTGTAGTGTAGCCGGTGTTCCAGTACAAACGAGTGGCGTAGATTAGGACAAGCAGGGGCAGCTCAATCTAATTTGAAGGGCCTTCGGAGAAAAATAAAAAGTGACTTTTCAAAAATATAAATAAAATTAATCACAACTCAAAAACAAAGTATACAAATATATATATACACAAATTTATAATAACAAAAGTTAATAAAATTAAAAAATAATTCAAGAAAAAGAATCATTGAACCTGACTTAGAAAACTCAAATCCAATACTTCTACAAATTTTTCAGTAGAATAAAAATGTGTTCATAATAACTAAAAACTTGTAATGAGAGTGGGAGGAGAAGACTTGTTGAAAAGAAAAAGATAAAACATAAAATAAAAAAATAATAATAATATGAAAACTATGGAAAGTTTTTGCCATTTATCCAAAGAACAACGTTAAATAGATATTTACTATTTTAATGTTGGTGTAACTTACCCAAAAATATTTTTAGTCCTGGCTTAAAAAACATGAATGTGAGAGAGAGAGAAAGAGAGAGGGAGAAAAAGATTTTTGGGATTTATTGTAAAACATGAATAAGAGTAAAAAAGGGGAAGGGAAAAAAATCATATAAGTATGTAAATCTTTGGGGGCCAATATTAAAGTTATATATCAATTAGAATTCAACGAAACGAGGGAGGATAAAAATAAAAAATAAAAAAGAGTTATTTTAGGATTTAAATATTTAAGACCCTAATATAAAATCGGAATGAATGAGGAGAGAGAGAAAAGAGAAAAAAAAAAAAAAAAAAGAAGTTATTTTAGAATATAAATATTTAAGGCCTAATATAAAATCGAGTGAAAAAAAAAGGAAGTTATTTTAGAATATAAATCTTTGAGACCTAATATAAAAATTTATATTTATTAGAGTTTAATAATATTAGGAAATAATTATAATATGACTTAATACAAGGAAATTTTAAAATTGTGGGATCTTTGTAATGGCTGGGCCTTAGGCGACAGCCTAAGTCGCCTAAGGCTCGAGCCGGCCCTGAGGACTGGGATCCTCTCTCGTGGTGGTTTCTGATACTTGTTCTCGATTATGAATATGGTGGACATGAATTGATGTTGACATCAATCAATTAAGGGTCTGAGACGCACGTAACGTATCGAAATTGATTATCGTGCATTTTTTTTGGCATAGCATGATAGATCTAAAATATGTCAAAACGTAATTTTTTACAACATAATTCATTTTAGTAATTTTTATTTAATTTTTTGAAGACAAATGAACACAAATAGAGTGACCTTACTGTGAATTCTAATTCGCAATAGTTACAAAATGACTTCGTAACTACAATTCTTGCAAAATTAAAGAATAAAAATAGATTTAAGGATGAAAAAAAGTTATAATTCATACTATACGTAACATGTGAATATTATATTAAAAAATATAATACAAATAAAAATTACCAAGAAGATTTTTTTATAAAACGGAATCACGTAGCCCTATATTTTTTTATTGGGTAAATTACAGTGACCTCCTTTGAGATTTGTGCAAATTACACATAGATAAACGTTTGGTCCTTATACTTTGACCTCCTTTGAAATTTGGCGCATGTGTTCAACGACACCTCTTACCATCAATGAAAATTTAAAATTGACTAAATTGCCCTTTCTTTGTGTTAAGAGTCCTCAATAACCTTATATTTTGACATGAAATAACAAAAATATAATGAAATGTCATTGAAATGCAATGTATCAATTTTTTTTTTTTTTTTTTTTTTTTTTTTTTGGTTTTGTCAATGACATTTGATTAGTTTATTTTTAGGCTTTGATTATGTTTTTTTTTTCAAGATGGGAGGTAAATAAAAGAGCACTAGAATTTTTTGGTTTGACAAATTTTTTTTATTAAATTAGATATATAAGGGTATGAAAGACATTTTATACTTTTAGGGAGGTAAAGTAATAAAAATCAAAGCTTTATTTGTTTCTAATTTTCCTAAACATCAAAAAAATCTGTGTAATTTACCCTTTTTTATTATACCTTATTTTTTCTTAGCATATTCCATTTTAGTGAAATCTTATTTTAATGTAAAGTTTTCATTTTATCTGGACACATATAACAAGACAACTATTGTTCTTCTGTCACTAATACCTGTCATTTTAATTTCTTTCTAATAAATTGATTATTGATTCTCTTAAATTCTAGTAACAGACTCCATTAATACATACAAGATGCTTACCAAAATTTAAAATAATAACACAAATTAATTTATTAGATGGTGTTCTTTTCACTATGTGAAATAGATTATCCATAATTTTTTAAGGAATGATGAGTGATAAATGAGTGCCTTAGTTTTCTTGTCAATGGAATGAAAAAATAATAATAATAATTAATGACAAATAAATATATGTGTGTGTAAGTGTGCGTCCGGAATATTACTTTAGAGTTTACAGCCACTTACACAATGGACATCAAGGTCTTATCCACATAAACATTGAAGCCGGTCCCCATACCTTACAGGATCAAACAGGGTCTTCCTTGCAGTGTAAGAACACATAGATGCTTACTTTGTTCATTTAAAATTACGATTGCGTCCAAAGATTTCATTATGATGATTATAAATAAATAAATAAAAGGACACAAATACAGAAAATAATAAAATATCCAAATGTAAAAAATATCAAAATATCTTCCAAAATTTTCCACACTACCCATTAATATGTTGTATCTATCCGGCTCCACATTGCTCAGCAATGTACTGGTCCGCAATCGGTAACAAGTTTAGGTTGAGGGGTGTAAGTACGGCCGGGTCCATTATGCACCCTTACACACTTCCACACACAATCGTGTGCAGTCTATAAAACATCCCCATTTTTTCTTTGCTTTTCATTATTTAGCAGACATTTTTTCTTTTTGACGTGGGTGGCTCTCTCCCCAATAATAACCTTTTCATTATTTATATGGTTCATTATTTTAAAGTAATATAATAAATTAAATTAATGAAGACTTAATTCAATAAAGGGATCTCTCCCCAATAATAACCTTTCCATTATTTATATGGTTCATTATTTTAAAGTAATATAATAAATTAAATTAATGAAGACTTGATTCAATAAAGGCACTCTCATATAAAGACTCCTTTTATTGTTGATATTTTTATTTTCCATTGTGAATCCAGAATTTAGTCTGGTGTACAAGGGTGCTAGGATTTCCATACCATGTGACCTCTTTTTTCATGATGAAATCTATTTGTCGATCCTCGTCGTAGATAAGGTGACGCATTTTTGACGTTTCTTCATGATTTGTTGGTGTTTGTCGCATCAAGTTTATATAACAATATAGAAAATATATACTACGTATATATATATATATATATAACAATATAGCATTTGAAAATGAAAGCAATTCATGAGTTGAATGGTATGGTCTAAGTTTAAAAAGGATTTTGAAATTTGTTGGAGAAGTTGAAACTTGCGGAACTTAATAGAGATATTTATAAGTTAAAAGTTTTTGTCTCTAATAAAAATTTGGAAGAACTTGGCCAAAAAAAAATTGAATCTTTTTCATAAGATTGATTTTCTGGAAAAGGAACTTGAATAGGTAAATAGGTTTAATAAATCACTTGAACTTAAAATTGATAATTTAAGTAATGAGTTTGTTAAATCAAAACAGTCTTTTCAGAAATTTGACATTGATACTTAAAAAATTGATAAGT